CAAAAGTATAGGCAACAGAAGTAAAACTAGACAAATTGGACTACATCAAAAATAAAAATTTCTGTGTATCAAATGAAAAAAAAATAGTGAAAAGTTAATCTATGAAACAGGAGAAAATATTTGCAGATCATATCTGAGAGGGGTTAATATCTAGAATATATGAAGATCTACAACTCAAAAACAACAAAACAGAATTAACAATGGACAAAGAACTTGAATAGACATTTCCCTAAAGATGATATACAAATGGCCAATAAGCATATGAGAAGATGCTCAACATTACTATTCACTGAAATGAAAATCTAAACCACAATAAGATACATGTCACATCCATTAAGATGGTGCTATAAAAATAAAAATTTAAAAAAACAGAAAATTACAAAAGTTGGCAAGGATATGGAGAAATTGGAATCCTTGTGCTATTGGTGGGAATGTTAAACTGTGCATCCACTATGGAAACCAGTACGATAGCTCCTCTAAAAATTAAAAATAGAATTAACCTATAATCCAGCAATCCTATTTTATGGGTATGTATTCAAAAGAATTGAAGGCAAGATCTCAGAGATGCCCATCTTCATAACAGCACTATTTGCAATAGCCAAGGAATGGAAGCAAACATGTCCATCAACAGGTGAATGGATAAACAAAATATACAATATGCATACAGTGGAGTATTATTAAGAATTAAAAAGGAAGGAAATTCTAACACATACCACAACATGGATGAATCTTGAGGACATTATGCTAAGTGACATAAGCCAGTCACGAAAAGACACTGCATGATTCCACTTATATGAGCTATCTAGAGTAGTTCAGTTCAAAGGAACAAAAGGTAGAATGGTGGTTTCTAGGGGCTAGGGGAAAGAGGAAACGGGGAGTTGTTGTTCAATGTGTACAGAGTTTAACTTTTCCAAGATAAAAAAGATTTGGATATTGGTTACACAACAATATAACCCAAGGCCCCAGGCAAAACTGACCCCAGCTACCCATCCATCCGCCTTGGAGTTCCAGGTTCTTTATATATTGCACAGTCTCATGTTCTTTCATCAGATTCACTGCAAAACCGACTTTGTAACGCATGTGACTTATCCAGGCCTGCAACATACTTACCACTTCAATACAGTGGGACACCATGATGTTCTACAGAACATTCACCCAGTCTAAACCCCTTTGGGATGAAGTGGGTAGGAAAATCAACACAGCCCTGGAGCAAGACCTTAAATATTATAGTTTCCAAGGGAATGCTTAGTTCTGGTACTCCTAATTAATAGTAGGAGAAAGAAATCATTTGCCCAATCAACAGCTATTTACCATGTACCTTCAGCCATGTTAACCTGCTCTGAAAAGACTTCACATCTGATCCAACAGCTGTAATTGATGCTACTACTTGGCTGAGTTGGCAGTGGTCCGTTACCATCCTTTAGGACTTGGCATCTCTGTAGGGGCCAGACTAGTCCATACTTTAGGTTTTTCAAGATGGCACTAATCTCTGCCATTTCCTGTCAGATGCAATACTGATTTTCATTTACTATCACGGCCAAGTCATTTCAGAGCCTTCTCACCCACTATTACAGTGCTTAACACCACAGGCTAAGAAACCAGTGTGACCATCCTGCCCGTTACAGGTATGCCCATTAGTACTGTCAAGGGACCAGAAAAATGATCAATTTGTGCTCAGGGAGTTTGCTGAAGAGACCTGTTAGTAGTAACACCTGGAAGGAAATATGGGCAGCCACATGAATACAGGAGGAAGTTGAATCATGGGACAGTTGTAATAAAAGCCTCAATTGATTCCACAGTCAGATTTGAAGCTGAGACAGCCTTTCAGTTGTACCAAGGTGAGGCAAGGGAGCCAGGCCTTTATACTCCTTCACTCTTCATTCATTGAATTCAGTAAGTCACAGGGGGGGCAACTCCCTTAAGCTGAAAGTAATTTCTGAGGAAAAACTCGGATCTGAGACAATAGCAGGCAAAACCCATGGCAACTGGGGAAAAATGTGCCTCAGGGCTTAAGTATATTGGTGGTTCACATAACGTCTACTACTAGGGTTACCAGATTCAACAAACAAAAAAAATTAAGATTTTGCATGGTATACCTATTTAAAAATTTATTCATATGCCACTTTATCCACCACACATGTATTAAAGGGCAAGAAGAAAGAAATTTCAAGGGCAGGAACACATTTCTTCTTTTGTAATCTTAGACTTTAGGTAGTAGTAATCCCATTTGGACATGAGAGACCAAAAATAAAAATTAGTTTACCTCAAAGATTTTTGCTCTATTCAGAATCCTGGAATGGTCTAATTACAGGAATTTAGTGTTACTCTACATTTTACCATAGGAACAGAAGCATGCTTAGAAAGAACACTCTAGCAATATTATAGAAGGTGGATTGTAGGAAAGACACAGTACACAGTACACAGAGAGAGAGAATTAGAGCAGTGGTAGTGAGAATGAAAAGGAATGAGAAGGGACACCCCTGAGACACATTCAAAGAATTTACTGATAGCATGATGTAGAAAAATAGGAGGTGAGCAGAATCTAATAAATTGTATGCTCTTGGTTTTAGGTAATAAGAGAAGAAAGAGAAAAAAGGTGCAAGATATATGTACACAAAAGATTGAGTAGGCTTGAAGGGAGAATATTTTACAGTTGGTGTACCATTCATCAGAATGTGTAATATATGTGACTACATTAACTAATATATTGCACCAAGCTGTTTGCTTTGGTTAAGTGATCATTTTCCATTAAAAATATTTCACCTGAAACTTTATAGATATTTTTACCATCTGGCATTTCAAGCTGTACTCTGGATGTTAAATTATACCAGTAGTTCTATTAGTTAAGTGTATATACTTAAGTCCTGAGGAATACTAATTTTCAAAGTTATAATCTTATTGAAAGAAGGACTTATAAAAGGTGTTTGTCTTCAATAGCAATTCCCAAGTCTATTTCATTTAAAATAAAAATCTACTGGTATGTTTTATCTACATTGCTAAAGATTTAGAGAGTCAATATAAATTTTCCCTATTTTCCTTAAAAATTCTAAAATGTAATATTACATTTTCATTCTATGATGTTGGCTTCAATCACCAATGACTTAGCCACAGTTATTCACTTTTGGGATTAAAATATCTACTGTAGACATCAATAAGCAGAACATATCTGACATCCAATTGTGTTTTGCTATTGATAAATCTCTTTTAATAAGCATTATACACTGTCACCTATATTCATTAACCATAGTAAAAGAAAATGTATATATGTTAATATAATTAAAATAACCTTATTAAATCCTATTTTTGTATTATGTATTTTCCATCCCAAGGGACCATTCAGTATTTTACTGCGATTATTTATAAATTATTAACTGTTAACTTCCAATTATCTATGTGTGGATTATCTAGCACAATCTTTAAGCCCAAGATGGTTTTTTCCTAGAATTGAGTACATTTTTAGGTTAACTTCTTGCTTTGATAGGTTTTCTTGTGTGTGTTTAGTGAATAAAAGCATAGCTTAAGTCATGGCACAACATAAGTAGGAAGGTAAATATACTGTCAAATATAAATGCAACATAATGGCATTTCAAATACAAGGAGAAATTAAATCTTTACATTACACATTATCAGTTTAACTTTTCAAGTTTCTTCCTTCAATTCATGTAATGAATATGGATAGTATAGCAAATCACTACATCCACCCAGTAAGTATAACCTTCCCAGATCTGGGTATTTTCTATGCACCAAGCAAAAGGTCAGGCACAGAATATGTGTAGCTGTTGAAAGCAATCTCTAAATAACATATCGATTCTCTTATATTGAATTGTTGCAGCTAAACATAAGAATTAAGAACAATGAATTTATTGTAGTTCAGTTGGTTATAATTCTTAAGGGAATTAAATCCTTACTTCTCAGCTGCACTGAATTATTAGTAGCTATCTCTGATTAGTTTTACTTAAGATACCTGGGTTTCACTTTTTAACCAAAGGATGAAAAACACCAAATACTTTGGATCTCACTAGTAATAATTTCTGGTTAAAAAATTAAAAATGAACTAATGGTGAGTGTACATTAGGTTGTGGTATAATAATAATTGGCAATACTTAGGTAACTCTTTTGCCAGGTACTGTTCTAAGCATGTTTTTCCCTTAATTTTCTTTTTTTATCAAAGTATAGTTGATATACAATCTTCTATTAGTTTCAAGTATACAACACAGTGACTCACCAGTTACCCACATTATTCAATCCTTACCCCAACTAGTGCAGTTACTATCTGTTGATATTTCCTTAATTTTCATAAAAACTTTAGGAAATACATTTCATTGTTATCCTTACTTTAACAACTGGAAAAACTGAGGTGCAGGACAGTTAACTAGGTAAAGGTTCCATAGCAAATAAGGGGCAGAGAAAGTATTTGAATCCCTTCTAGTTTGGTTTCAGAGCCTGTACACTTAACTACTAGACCATCCACCTCCCTGTTGAATTATCTGACCTTTGTCCTGTTGGAGAGAACAACACAATGATGGTTCACCCTGTCATATATACCTGTGTAAAACTAGGATACCTATTGTCTTTAACACTCTCCCATTGACAGCCTACTCTGACAACATCAGCTGGCTTAGATGCCCTTCCTATCCTATTCTCTCTCTCATAGCACCTACTATGCTGGTCTGTCATAATTTTTTTTATTTAATTTCACAACTGATTGTCATTCCTTGAAACAATGATTACTCAAAGATTGGCACACAACACAGTGTGTGTTATACAGTAGAGGTTCAACAAATGTTTGTCGGATAAATAAACGCTTCCCATTGTTTGTAGATCTGCCTACTGGCATTCTGGACTGTACCAAAACCACCATATCTACCACCCACTACCAGCACCATTACTGTGATATTAACTTTTACAATTCTCCATATTGTGAGAAACTTCACATTTCCCTTTTGAAATACTTCAGGAAAGTATACCAATAGCTACCCCAAGAGGGAAAAAGATCTTACCTTCTAAATCTTCTTTCTCAAAGTGTGTTTTGAGAATAGAACGAGTTCCACCTCTATCCACAACTGCCTCTTCATCATTTCTCTGTAAAATGGGAAGAAAGAAGAATAAATTATAGCACAGTAGTCCCCCATGTCTATGGGAAATACATTCCAAATCCCCAGTGGATATCTGAAACCTTGGGTAGTACTGGATATCCTATATATACTGTTTTTTTCCCTATACATACATAAATACCCATGATAAAGTTTAACATCAGTTAGGCACAGTAAGAGATTAACAATAATAACTAATCATAAAACAGAACAATTATGACAATATACTATAATAAGTTGAGTGAATATGGTCCCTTTGTCTTTCCTTTGCTCTCTCTTTCTCTCTCTCAAAATGCTTTATTGTATTATACTCACTCCCCCTGTGATGATGTGAGATGATGAAATGACTAGAAGATGAGATGAAGTGAGGTATATGACAAGACATTATAATGTTTCATACTACTATGGGCCTTCTGACAGTAAGTCAAAAGAAGAACATCTAGTTCAGGACCACAACTAACCACTGTAACTGAAGCCATGGAAAGTGAAACCACAGATAAGGGGGTCTATTCCATATATATTCTCTTCATCTCAGAAAATAAACTTTAAAACAATCTAATATTTTAAGGGTTTATATCACTGACTTAGACCTACTTGTACATGACTATTCTATTTGATTAGCCAGAGTTAGTTTTTAAAAGGAGATAAAAATTAATTTGACTACATATTCAAAGAATGTCATTTGATTTTCCATGAAATCAAAGACAGTCAAACATTCCAGTTGGCATCATTTGTTAGTGAGATGCAAAACAGAAAACAAACAGTTATCCTGTCAATTTAATAATATGAATTTTTATCTCTGATACAGAATTCTGTTAACAAGATGACACTTCAAACTGTGAAAAGAAAATACGGAAATCACTAGTATTAACACCACTAATGCTATGGCAAGGTGAAATCATTCTACTGCCATTAAAAATGAGACTGGGTGATCTAACCTCTTAAAGCAAATAGTAGCAATTATTAGGTAAACTACAACTCTAATTACTTTACCTCAGTAAAATGCATTTTATTCAAACTAAACTAAATTGCAATTATAATAATGTGAATTAAGCCTTCATTCACTTTATTATTATTATTATTATTTTACCTCTTTAGACTGGCTCAGAGAGAGAGGCTCTGTCTTCTGTACATTATACATATGCTCAAAACAATACACCCTCTGATTCGGTACTCAATAAAATATTGCAGGAGTGGAGAGTATAATCCATTTTGACCATGCGGGAATGGACAGAATACACAACACTGCATGAAGTGAAATACACATTATTTCCAACTTTTATCTGAACCCCTATGTAAAAATTGCCTTAAAAGTTAATAGTGGGCATAAAGTGAGAAGGTAAAAAGTAGATTAAAAATGAATAAACCTTACAAGATCTATTTCTAGGACTATTCTAGTATATGACCCTTGGAAAAGTAAAAGATATTTGTTTCTTTTTTTATTCTTCTGTTTCTTCTTTTTAATTCCTGAACATAATTTTGATAAAGATTTGGCCTCCGTGTTTTATAAATCAGTACTTTCAACTGTAAGATTACAGACATATTTCAACCTAGAAAGATCAGCTTTCATGTGCTTATCATGCAGCAAAATATACAGTAGAAAGACCTGTTTTATAGCCTGTTGTCTACCTGTCAACATGTGCTGAAATGGGTCAGGACAATGGGTTGGAAATAACAGTTAAAGAAACTTGAGCCATGAATGAGTAAAAATGGAAATAAGGATTGGATTCAGAGCTCATTGCTTTTCTATTTAGCAAAGTTTTAAAAATCCGTTAGCTTAAGCAAAATATCAATAGAAAAAACTATGGGATGTAATTTTCCTGAACCAGACAGATGCAAGTTTCAACCTATGCAGAATCTGTTCTTAATATATTTGTAAATAAAATTTATTCTCTCTATACAAGACATATTCAAATATATGTCACACTATAATGTATCTCTGCCCTCTGGGGTTGCGAGGAAAAATGCCAAAAGCTAAGTCATGCATCCATGTTCAAAGGTCAGAAGGAGCATTATTATATTACATCTTATAATGGCAGTATCTTAAAACAATTGCAAATGGTAATCTTATACAGAATATGAGGTGTTTTCTTCTATATACTATTCAATTTTGATTCCAAGAACCTTAACAATTTTTAACTTACATATAATCACTTTCCTCTTTATAGAAAGCATGTATACTGTTACATACAAAATATAACTGTTGAATAGCTAATGTTAAGATATTGAGATAAATGAAATTTTGTAAGAGAAGTAGAAGTGGAATCTAAATAGGAAATGGTTGACTATTTGATTACAAGTTACAAGTAGAAGGAAGGTACTTTTAATGTTTCTTTGAAAGAATAGAAACTAGAAGCTAGAATATGAATGAAACTCAATATAAGTGACCCATTTTGTGATTTCATATACATCCCCCTTAAATATTTCCTGGATGTTCCAGAGTAACATAAATATATGATCTTTTAGACTGAAAATTCCCAAAATACAAATTAATAGTAACACATATTCCTCTACTTGGTTATAATAGTTTAAAAGATTATTTCAATATTATTCAAGAATTCTTGATAGGGTAATTCCCTTCCCCCTTATTACCCAGAGCAAGTAAACATGGGGTGACAAAAGGGATGCAGAGAAATACAAGACACTGGGTGCCGGTCTATGTGGTAATTCAAAATGCATCAAGATAGTTTTTTTATTTCATGTAGTTGTGTTACTCACTTTAGATTTCTTGAACATCAAATACATTAATGCACCACAATTTCCATACATGTAAACTCTTTTAAAAGCAAATTTCAGCACTATGTAGGGAGAGAACACATAAATATATTACATTGCCACACAGTAAAATTTATCCTTGTTACACTATTGGATAAATATTTATAAGATGATTGATTCCAGTAAATAGTGCAGAACAGTATTGTATATTTGGAGGATATGACCCATAGTGAGAAATACAGTGCATATCCCAAAAGTCGCCTATTCATAAATGTGTAATCAAAATAGTTTCACACGCCAACATATACCCTACTATAAACAATGTTCTGTGATATTTTCTATTCCAGAGTATTCTATTTCATTTAAAAATACTAGTCACTATCCAATAAGTTTATTTCAAGGCTGAAAAATTGATTGTGACCTGCAATTTGGAAACATAGGTATAGACTATCACCCTGGGATAGAGTAATAGTAACCAATTCACATAGAAATCACATCTTAAATCTATTAACATAAGCATCTAACCAAAAGAACAAACAATAATACTTTAATTTTCAAATCAGTATTTTCAATTTTTGTCAGGTTAAGTTTCAGGATATATTATTGTAATTGCATAAATCACTTAACTTTTCCTGATCTATTTTGACTTTGTTTTTCCTTCCACCAGGAGAGTAATAGTTTGCTCCCATGACTTCCCAAAAAAGAAAGAACAAATAGTATTGGAGAGGGGTAAAAAGATGGCAGAGAAGGAGGGCAAAGCCAAAACCTCCTCCCCCACATACACAAAGGAAGCAACTACAGAAAATGCAACTAACCCTGAAAATGACCTGAAGACTGTAGAATAGACAACCTAAACCCTGGTGATGAAGAGAGGATCACACAGAGAAGGGTAAATTGTCAGAGTCATGATCAATTAGACCCTAGCCCTTCCCCCAGCACAGCCCACAGAAGAGGAATAGAGCTGGGAAGGGATAAGGGCTCAGAACCTCTGCACAACTGGCCCTAGAGATCTGCTCTGGGAACACAAGTCCACACTGCATCAGGCATTGGTGATTAACAGGCCTGGACACCAGGGATAATTGGAGCACTCTGAGAGGCTGAGACACCTGCCACTTGTGGAGGACAAGTGCACCACCTTGATTCTGCTGAGGCCAAAAAGAGAGGCAGCAGTTTGGAAGACTTACCAACAGCAGGAAGGAGGCCAGAGTCCAACATATACCCTACTATAAACAATGTTCTGTGATATTTTCTATTCCAGAGTATTCTATTTCATTTAAAAATACTAGTCACTATCCAATAAGTTTATTTCAAGGCTGAAAAATGGATTGTGACCTGCAATTTGGAAACATAGGTATAGACTATCACCCTGGGATAGAGTAATAGTAACCAATTCACATAGAAATCACATCTTAAATCTATTAACATAAGCATCTAACCAAAAGAACAAACAATAATACTTTAATTTTCAAATCAGTATTTTCAATTTTTGTCAGGTTAAGTTTCAGGATATATTATTGTAATTGCATAAATCACTTAACTTTTCCTGATCTATTTTGACTTTGTTTTTCCTTCCACCAGGAGAGTAATAGTTTGCTCCCATGACTTCCCAAAAAAGAAAGAACAAATAGTATTGGAGAGGGGTAAAAAGATGGCAGAGAAGGAGGGCAAAGCCAAAACCTCCTCCCCCACATACACAAAGGAAGCAACTACAGAAAATGCAACTAACCCTGAAAATGACCTGAAGACTGTAGAATAGACAACCTAAACCCTGGTGATGAAGAGAGGATCACACAGAGAAGGGTAAATTGTCAGAGTCATGATCAATTAGACCCTAGCCCTTCCCCCAGCACAGCCCACAGAAGAGGAATAGAGCTGGGAAGGGATAAGGGCTCAGAACCTCTGCACAACTGGCCCTAGAGATCTGCTCTGGGAACACAAGTCCACACTGCATCAGGCATTGGTGATTAACAGGCCTGGACACCAGGGATAATTGGAGCACTCTGAGAGGCTGAGACACCTGCCACTTGTGGAGGACAAGTGCACCACCTTGATTCTGCTGAGGCCAAAAAGAGAGGCAGCAGTTTGGAAGACTTACCAACAGCAGGAAGGAGGCCAGAGCGGCAAAGGTGGGACAGAGCTCTCTCCATGGGAGAAGGGTCAGGTGGACAACATTTTCCAGGCCTTCTCTCAGTCCATTGATCAAGTGCTTACCAGAGCCCCAAGCCATCTATCCCCCTTGCTGGTAGCTCAGCTCTGAGGCACTACCCTGAGCAC